CAAGTCGCTGTTTAAATCTGTAGCTCCATGTGTTTACAGCTCCAAAACAGAAGTCCATTTGCTTTGTCTTTTTACTTTTGATCATCTTTTACTGCGCATGCGTGTCACATCAGTGCTGTGGAGCGTTCACACAGGAGTCTGATGGAGGTCGCATTTGAAATGTAATGTGAACGTTCATGCTAAAAGATTGGATTTTTACAAAAAATCCGAATAGAGCATTAAGACCTGCAGTGTGAACGTAGCCTCTGGCTCCAACATGTAAGACTGGATGGACAAGTCTTCCTATGCTGAGAAAGAGGAGGCTTGTGGAGTTACAATAAGGAGGAATTCAGACCAAAGCATTGCGGTTCCACTTTATATAGACCCAAACTGAATTATTTAAGTGTGAAAAAGAAAGATTTAAAAGCTTGACATGTCTCCTTGAAGACGGAATAAAAACAGCTGCCACTTTTCACCAGTTAATTCCTCTCAGCCCTGAATTCACACGTCTCCCCTTTTATTGCCACCTTTCCCCCAAACCCCACCTCAAAAGGTCCCAACAATTGCTTTAAAAACACACGGAGCCTTAGATCCAGTTACTGTTATTTGAGTTGTCACCAAACCTATTAGATTTAGATGTATTGTTTGTAGCCAATATGAATTAGAAGCTAAACCATTTTGGCGTTCGTATTAGGAGCTTTCAGAAATTTGAGATTTGAAGGCTGAAAATATCTGCAGTTCTTTTGTCCCCTGGAGAGTAAAGCACTGGGCTGTCGCAGCTGTTTTCCTTTTGCCTCACCGAATCCATTTGTGTAATGTACACAGCATTTGTTGTACTTTTTCCTCCTCATAAATAATGGATCGACCCAAGTCTGTGATTGCACAAGTGCCTTTATGCCCAACACAGAATTAAATACAGAGTTTAAAACAACAACTGTCCTGCTGTGAAGGTGGCCTTTCAGAGAATAAATGTGTGTGAATGTCATGTACATCAAAAATAAAAACAGATATTCACCGCGTCTATAAAAAAATGAAAAACACATTTATGCACAATTATTCCTTATTTCTGTCATCTAGGTTTACTCTAAATGTACTGCGCAGTTATGTTGCTATGGCTACCTACATTTCTTATATACAGCCATTGTGTAAACAGTGTGTTTTTCCTTTCTAACATGATACTCTGTTAAACCTCAGCTCTAAAATAGAACCAAATCTGTTATATTTTCTCAAGGATAACAGCCTTTTATACTGTTCACATCATTCTCTCATTCATTCAACCATTCTGCTATTTTAGTTCGGAAGGACACAAGTTTTAAAGTTAGCTCTTTGGCCATGAAAACTGATATTTTTAGTCCTCAAACATTTTTTATAGAAACATTTCATTTAGGATTACCGTAGCATAATAACATTTTTCTCCCTCAACAACCTTGAATTGTGTGTGTTTGCTAATATTAGGAGCATTGTCCTGTTTTGATAAAAAAAATGTTGAAATAAAAAGAAACCAAACAACAAAAATAACTGTCAGGTTAAAAAAAAAATCACATTTTCTGCTTTTTTATCATCTCCATTTAAAATCGACTTGTTGCAGAGTGTAAATATTTGCAAACGAAGTTTGGCAGAAAAAAATTTACTCAAAATAAATATTTTAAAAAATTGCCATAAAGCTTAAAATCCTTTACAGATTTTAACTGTTCTGTTATCTATTATAAGACAGTCTATCAGTGGTCGTTTAAACCTGATCAAATCAACAGTTCAGGGAAAAAACAGCTCATTATGTACCACTGTTTGAAGTCAGTTACTTAAATTTTAAATATATGTAAAAATTGGTGCATGGTGTAACCATCAAGCTGATGGGAAAGTAGAATTTTAGGCCTACTGCAGCCTGAGAGATTTCCCTCATCTCTGTATTTTTTGTGTGGAAAGTATCAAAAAATAAGGATTTACAAAAACAAAACCACACACAGGACTGCAAAAATAGACTTGCAGTCCAAACCACTTCAAAAACCACAGAAACGCACATAAACCAAAACCTAAATTGGTATAAGACTCACAATACAACAGCAGTGCAGTGAAAACAGGATGCAGAATATAAAGGTGAGGTAACGAGGGGATGATTGAGAACAGCTGTGAAGGACACAGTGACAGGCAAACACTGAGATAAAAAAAGAAAAAAGAAATGTAACAAACACAAAACCCTACACTGAATACTACTAAATTTGAAAAAAAGATTGGGAAAATATTATTAAAACACGTTGGTAGTTTTGGAGTGCTGGTTATCCCATTTTTGGGATTCCTCAGAACCGAGCACCCGTTTACTCTTTCTTCTTTTTAGTATTGGACTTGTGCGCACTACTTTTTATCTTATTTTCCTTATCTTTGATCCATAATGCAGGAATTATCATGAACAAAAAAAAACCTCCAAAGAAAAAGGCTGATGTGTCAGCGTACATATATAAACATTAACCAGAGGGGGAGAAAATCCGTAAAACAAACAAAAAGGTGCAGGAGAACTAGAAACAAACCAGTCCAGGAAAAAGACTGATAGAAGCCATGAGTGGGAGAGGTGATTACTGAGTGAAGGCAGCTGGGGCTAATTAGCAGATGTTAAACAGGTGAGTAGAGGCTGAGGATAACTGAAGGAAGAAATTATCAGTGCCCAAGAGAAAAAAAAAGAAGAAAATTGAAATTTACTGAAAGCTGAGGAGTATCTGGATTTAAAAAAATACTAAAAACACAAAAATCCAGAGTGTCATGACAACCTAAAACAGGGTAAAGTGTGTTTGTTACCTGCTGCTAAATAAATTGTTTTATAGTTTCTGTTTGGTTCTATTTCTTGTTTTAGTTTGTAAAAAAAAAAGATCTGTTTTTGCACTAAAAACAAAACACTTATCCTGATGCTGCCATAATAATTTCTCTGAGTAGGAAACCTGTCGAGCTGTTTTGACGTGTATATTTTTAGCTCGATGCGACAGGTGGTGTAATTTTCAGAGATGTACAGTAGCACTCGGGGATGGAATAGAAGGAGAATGGCTTCAGAAGATGCAGTAAAAGCTGCTTTGGCTGCTGCTGATGCTCTAAATGCTAATATATAATAAATGTTCTTTCAAACTCAGTCAGTGCCTGAGCTTCCTCACTGCTCTTCCAGCACAGGCCCAGATGACAAGGTGAAAAACTGGGCAGTGATTCAGCGTTCCTGGAGTCTCCAAAGAACGATCAACTGATGTCCAGAGCTTCTGCAAAGCCAACGTTTATAAAGAGTATTTATGCAACTTCCTGGGCTTGTGGGTTATTAATGTTCAGGCAGTATGTGAGTCTCTTTGTCATATAAGCAAGGCTAGTGAGTCATTTATCCGCATCAAGTCCTCTGTATAAATGAAGGTTGCTTCACAGCATCGCAGTGCAGCTGTTAGTTTCAATAGTCCTCACTGCCAGAGGAAATAAAGAGGTGATTGCTGCAAAGTTAACGACGGAAATGGAAAATCTAAGAATATGACATCATCAGACATCCTGTGTGAACGAAAGTGTTTCTAAAGCAGTTTCAAGGTCTTTCCTCCTGAGCAGAAAGCGAGACTTTTGGTTTAAATGAACAATGAAGCAGCATCATTAGGAGGAGGAAGCCTCAGTTTACCTGGAGTTTATCCCAGAGACATTTTTATTGCATTTAAAGAAAACTTTGAATGAGATTATGAAAATATAAACACAAGTAATAAAGAAGTTTTACGCTGATCAATAATTCAGCTGCACTTTCTGCACACTCAGCTAAAAGCATCTCGACCTGTCTTGTTATCTCTTGGTGCAGCTGCAGAGCATAATGATGCTGATGTGCAGGTTTTACTCATCAAAATGAAAAAAAAAAAACAAAAACATAAAGAATCACAGGGCTTGTTGTTTGGTTTGCCCTGGAAAGAATGATGTTAACCAAAAAAAAAAAAAAAAAAAAAAAAAAACTTTACTGGCACAACATGAGCCGACTCGACTAATTACAGCTCATCAGTCTTGATCATTTAAATCCGCTCTAATGTGTTTGGTCTCTGGCAAGAATTCAGATCTGGCTGGCATCTGAAAGCGAAATAATCTATCCTGATTTGATGGATTATAGACTTGAGCCCAACGTGATGAATCTTATTACACCCAGAGTGTTAAACAAAATCTCAGCCAGCAAAATCATTAAAAGGGCAGTAGCCATAATTCTCATTTCCTTCGTCCTTGAGTTTGTGAAGTTAAAATTACTTCCAGTAACTTTGTGCACAGTTCAATGATTTTACTCACTTGGCAACTGAATTACCAGATAGAGCACAACCCAGCTTGTCTATTACAATTTAACTCCTTTTTTTATTTCCAACACATTAAAACTAAGCACAGAATTGTAATAAGTCAAATCCACTGTCAGGTGTCGCTGCAAAAGATAAGTGCTGTTTTGATTCACCTGTCAGTGGTCATGATGTTATGACTGATCAGCATTCGTCTCTTCTGTGATGTCATGAAATACATAGAGCTGCTGATGATGGGAAAATGAAGATAACAGCTTCGAGAGAGAGCAGCATCGTTGAGAAAAGGATGAGACGACATGATAAAATTACACTTTCCTTAAAACTTAACAAAAATATATTTAATTGGGCCATTAGATTTATTTAGCGTGCATTCAGTGAGATAATATTTGTGTAAGCTTTTGCAATATCAACGTTAATATATTTTTGCTCAGAGTTGCATCAGTGGGTGGATTCCCTGTTAGGATACTTTTCGACAATAACGCCATTTAACCTCAACGCCCATTTGAGACTGTTTTCCAGAGGAAATATATTCTGAAACCATCGGTCCACACCTGAGGGTTTCACGCTTGCTTTTCCCCGCAGATCTTCACAGCTGTCAACAGGACAACGGAATGAAAAGGAAAAAAACTAAAACTAAAAATTCATGATCTGACTGTCCTGTGAGCTCTGTGATTAATGACACGACCCTGTCCATCATTTCTGCTTTCAAAGCATTTTTTTTTCCTTTTTGTCTTTCCTCTTCCTCCACAGGCTCGGCTCGAAAACACAGCGCCACTCATTGGTGTCTGCAGAACATCGCTCAAGAATCAGTTGAAAGCTCCGATGAGGAGTTCTTCGATGCCAAAGGTTAGAACCACATTTCCTTTCTCCCCTTTGTCCTGATGCATCACAGTAAGCCAGGTAAAAAATCAAAAAGAAAAAAAAATTGTATAGGTCTTCTGGACGGGTTCTTCTCTAATGAAACGTTTCGTCTCTCCTCCAAGAGACTTCTTCAGTCTGAGAGTTTCAGGCAACATTCAGGCTTTTAAGCCCTGCCTCCATGTGACTGATACTCACATCACATGGGGTGGAGTGATACTGGCAATAGCCGCGCTGTAGGAGGGGGACAACTGAAAACGGAGGCCTCCACCTCTGTTTAATGTTGGACTGAGGCTGCACATCTGGCAAATACTGTGTTTACATGAATTTCGTTTACAATTAAAAATGTAGTTTCTGTTAGTTTTGGGTGGTATGAGGGTTTTAAAAATTACGATGATATATTAACCCTCTGGAGCCTGGTCACACGACCTATTCAAATCGATCTAACAAGAAAGATTCGTATCTTTCCGGTTAGAGCGATTTGCCCCGCCCCTTCTCTGAGATTCTGTTTCTGTTTGTGTCAAAAGTAGACTTCAAACTATGCACTAAAAAATTGTGTTTATGAGCCAAATAAAACCGGAGTTATGATAAATAGTTTACACTACTTCTTATTTTTTCTCAGTGGTGGGCAGTGCTATTTCAGATTTTAGTTGCGCAATTTCTAAAGTGCTAGTCAATTTATTTAGATCCACAATTTCAAAAACACATATGCTCAATAAATCTTAGCAGAAGCTAATTATAAAGCGCAAGATTATTTCAGTTTACCAGAAAATATTCTGGTAAGAGACAAGTCAGCACTTTACTGCATCTAATGGTAAGATCATTTTCTTTCACAGATTGGCACGCGTCATCGCAGTTTGGGGAGGTGATTTGTCGAAACAGACTTTTAAATCATGGCGTTAAAGCAAAAAATAGTTGTGGATTGCTAGTTCTGCTGCTTCTTGGTCATTTTCTTATGCTTATGGCAGAGCTTTGGTAAGAAAACATGCAGATATATTAGTAATTTTAAATTTTTTATTGTATAACTTAAGCAATGCATTCTGGGTAGGCTACAGGAGGAAGAACAGGAACTCCGTTCTTTTCAAAATAGAAGCGTGAATTTAAAATGTTTCATGTTTCTTTATTTTTTATTAATTATTTATTTAATATTTATTGCCGCGGTGTCCCTCAGAGAGGAGGTACAAACTGCACAGCTGAGTGTGTTTCTGGAGATCAGAACCGCAGGTGGATTGTCGCCCAGTGAAGATGCTCCAATTGCTTCCTGCCATGCAAAGAATTGTGGGAACAGTCTCTACTAAATGACACAGTAGTGCTCCAATGTTCAAGAAAATGATGACGAAGTTTTAATCAATTATGTGGCTACAAAACATAGTGAGTTTAGATGGCTCTTTCCCTTTACTTTAGACAAAATTGACAGTTGAATGTGAAATTATTAGTGATTAGCATTTCTAAATTTAGAAAGCGCAAATCTGCCCATGTTTAAAGAAATTAGTAAAACCCCTAAAGTGCAAAGAAGAAATTTAGGTCTGCAATTTGCGCTTTAGGCGACTAATGCCCACCACAGTTTTTTCTGAACATGACCGTCCTATTTGATGTGCGTTGCAGCGGCCGGTTAAAGGAAACACGGTAGTCTCATGGAAAAAAACATCTCAATCTTAATCTCAATCTCAGTCATTTGACCAGTGCCAAAAATTCTACAGTAAGAAGAAAATAAAAAGATGCGAAAGTGGGATGATGTTTGGCAGCAATGGAATGATGGCAAGAGTGGGAGAAAGCAACTCAACACACCACAGACCATACACCCCTCATGCTCCGCCCCTTTTTGCTCTCCCTGTTAATACCCTTCACCATGATATTATCTAAAAATAATGAAAAGATCAATAGTGTTCAACCCTGGTCACTGATTTATTATTTGTTATATTTAATTTAAATTTAAATGAACTTATTGATGGGCCAGTCTGAGCTCCTCCATGGACCAGAAGTGGCCCCTGGGCCTTCATGTTATTAAACCTGCCATAGATCTTTATTAGTTTTTCTTTTCCCAGTTTTTTTTTTTACAGATTTTGTGGAGACACCATTTTGGTGTGCAATGTGTTTGATTTAAAAGCTGCCTGACAATATACAGGACAAACACTGTGAACAGGATCATAATTAAAGAGTCTCATTGCAAATTGCAGCAACACCCAGACCTGGTCGTGTCATAAGAAGAACTGATGTGTCCAGATCCTCATTATTATTATTTTGGGAAAAAAACAGTTCAGAGAGAGCTGGCAGCCAGAAAAAAAAAAAACAATGTATATTTTTTTCTGTAGCCGACAGAAATTGAATGATTCACACAGCAAAAGAAGAAAAATACAGACTAACAACACCGGCTGTCTAGCAAACTTTAAAACTTTGTGATTAGTTACTTCATGATTTGAAAACAACTGCTGCCTTCACTGAACAAGATTTAATATAAAGAGTTTTTCCATAAAAGAAAATCTCTTTACGCAATAAAATGTCTTAGAAGTGACTCTAATCCTATGGATCTGTGAATATGCAAATTAGATGAGCATTTTATCTTCACTCGTGGCTGCAGCTGCTGACCCTCGACTCGGCTCTGATACTCTGGACTCCTCGGCTTGACGATGTTATCATCGCCGTAGAGAAGGTCACTTTACAGCGAAGCCACAGAGGTTCTGAAACCGACTGAGATGGCGACACAAAGAGTCGGAGACAGCCGCTTAACGCTTGTGTGATGAAATGTTAATGAAGCGTTTTACTCCATGTTACAGATTCAGATTAGACCGTGTGGAGAGTGAAGCTCTCTTATGATGCGGTTTTTAAAACCATAGAGGGAATTGGAAATAAATTGGAAAAATTAGATCAGTTTCATTTTCCCTTGTGGGCAATATGTTTTGTTTTTCTCTATCTGTTACTTGTGTTTATCCAGTCTGTCTTTTGAGTTTTATCACTTGTTTCCACAGCTTGTCAGTGTTTATATCAGTTCAGTTGTCTCGTATGTTGATTCCTCTCTGCTACTGCCCCGCCCACTCTCACCTGTTCTCGCTTGTGTTCCACACAGGTGTTTGTGATTTGCCTTATTGTTCTGGCTCTGCTGCAGCATTAATTGTTTGTCATGCTGCCCGGAGCTGCACATGTGGTGATATTTACTAAATTAACGATCTCCTGTAAAGCAACACATTTCAGAAAGCTTTAAATCTAAAAAAAAAATCTACATTTCTCCCCCTTTTTTTCTTTTATAAATCACAACTGAACAATAGACACTTAAAACTCGTGGGGTGTTTGTTTTAATGTAAAATAGCATGTTAGAAAACTAAAACATGAATGATAAGTATCTCTGTCATCAGACTCCTGGGGATAAACACTCAGAGGATAATTGGATCAGTAAGAATTCTGCTTCAGACTCTATAAGAACTCCCGATGGGACTTGTAAAAAAAAAATCAAGCGGCAGTCGGAAATGTTCTCAAGTGTGTTTATTTCTGGTCAATCTCATGTCTGAGTGAATTTTCACAAGTTTTGAAGTGAATCATAAGAATGATGCGTTCAAACTTGACTGTTGCTTCTGATCAGATTTCACCCAGTTTAGTCAACGATCGCAAAACAGCTACAGCTGTCATTTCCCAACCTGAAATGACTGTTGCATGGAATGAAATGGGGTGGGCGACATGCAGGGCTGTAGTCTAGTTTTTTGAAGTGGGTATACTGTGACACAGTGCACAGTGTTTATTATGACATAAGTTTATTACGCCATATTGTTTTGGTACTTATTTTTTCTTCTAGAGCTTTTTGCTCGGCTGTAGCACAGAAACAGCTGCACCTAGTAGCACAAAATTTGGTAGGAATACAGATGTAGATGACCTTCACTGTGCTAGGAAACGGTTTTGCGATGGACCCTATATTTCAAATGGGGGTGCTAAGTGTCTGGACATTTATTTATTTTTTGCTGTTATTTAGCTCTGAATGCAATGGAGACTTTTTTATTATTAATAAGACCAATAAGAACATTTTGTGTAATAAAACGGTGAAAAGACAAAACTTTGTCACTAATGCAATAATTGAGATTGAGATTTAAAAAATGGATTTACCGCAGCTTGCAGCTTGAAGACATCAGTCGACGAATGGAGTAGTTTTTATCCAAACATTTATTTTCTTTTAACTCCACACAGAATATAAACTGGCTCCACACACTCACGGTGCTTCTGCTGCGGTCAGAGTCCGGGTGTAAAGTAACGTTCAAGAGACACACGTTTCAGAACCTTTCCACATGGTGCATTCAGTGACATCCAGTAAATACCAGTACTCTCAGAAATGAACAATCTAACTAAAACATACACCCAAAATAAAGTGTGGGGTGTCTTTGTACAGTCAAATACACAAAAACAGTAACACAACTAATAATCTCATTTGAACAATGTCTGTATTTCTCACATTCTCCCTCACTTAAGAAATGTCGTCCCGACATAAAAAATATACCCAACAATAAATTACATGGACATCATAGAATGGAATGGACTGTTTAACAGGTTACATTACAACCTTCCCTTAAGTTACCCAGACTACCGTGCACTGTAGCTGTGTAGACTCCTGATGGAATCAGTTTAGTGTTTTAAAGTCCGATGTTTAATGAATAAACTTTACCAAACTAATTGCCCTCCCGTTTGAGCACTTGTTTTTCTTACATAAACATTTTCCTGTTTCTCACACACACAGATTCGGCCTACAATTCTTATGTGTCACCATATTTATCTCAATATTAGGCACATTTGGTACAATCCAAAGTGAGAATACAAAATGTAAACAATACAGTTTTTTTTTTTTTTTTTTTTTACCAAGGCCGCCAGTAGCCCTGAATAGTAACACATTTAGTGGACGCTGTTCTCTCTGTGAAACTTGGT